CATATTGTTATCATATCGGAAAATAAATTTAAGTTCCGTAATACGTACATGATTTTGGTGGCGATACTAGGTGGGTGGTATATAGCGATAGAATAATTATCATGTTATAAAGTTTGATCATTAATTACGTACTCATTGAACAACTTTGCTCCTCAAATAAGCTTTTCTTCCGGACCGTAATAATATTATCGCGAGAGTAATTTTCAAGAACGGATACTCATGCTCTACAAATCCGGACCTCTGATCAAAGTTTAATTAGGCTTTATAGATATTCCTTTTTTTTGCTTACCATATCGATATGTAAAATTTATTCTGAGACAGGTCATTTGTTCCGGACCTATGCGGAAGAGTCAGGACTTGCAAGACATAAAATGTACTCTTTAATAGAATCTATTATGAAAAATAAGATTGTCGTGGCAATAAATAAATAAATACAGAGTGTACTGCGGCTTCTTTGTTCAAAAATCGTATATCCTTTATATGCCAAACTAAGTACTTCGAGAAGCTAATTTTTGTATTACCACATGAACGATAGAATTATTATGCATTCAGAACGCTAAATACAAATAAACATCTGCTCTCTAATATATCTACGGTCGATGTTTCAGCATCAGCAGTATAGAGCCATCTTTCTTACGTATTAAAAATGGCATAAAATTAAAATATTATTAATGATACATATTTTTAACAAAGCTGTTACTTTTTTTATTTGTAATCGACAATACGTACTGCAATAGTACTATTATATTTGGCATGAAACCTGTTTTTACACACACCATATCCCAAAAAATATGCGCTAATGTGATTAAAAGTTTAAATTTATTAGACGCTGTGTAACAATTCTTTTTTTTTCGCACAAATCAGTATTTTTGCGCATACTAATAAATAAATAAATAAATAACTACATCGTTTGTCCGAAGTGGTGATGCAAACGGCCTGAGCCGAATCGCAAGTTAAATGGCTAAGTCTATAGTGGCATCAAGTAAATAGAAGATTTTTACATACTATATATTTTTTTTTTCAAGTTTTAATACTGTTAAATTTTTGAATCAATTTTACTAATAAAATTAAAACTTTTGCCCGCCATAATTCTGGTAAAATTATTTTAATTCTGATCAAATTTTTAAAAAATATATGTATAAATTTGTATATACTATATTATCTAATCATATGGCTTTATTTTAGTGTAAAATTACACGGCATAGCCTTAAAATTTGCTAGTTTAAGGTGTCTCACACTGAAGGGATGTTAAATTGCGAGTCTAGTCCGTTCACAGGATTTAATACTTTTTACAAGACAATCTCGCTGAGCTGGCATTAAGCAATATTAGTCAACATAGTCTATAGCAAGATTATCAGCTGAGTATTTTTTGTTTTAAAATAGAAAATGCATAGCATTGTGTGACCGGAGCAGAACCCTCGGATTTTTATCGCAGCAAAAATAGCGAAAATCATCAAACTAAATTTTTCTTATTCTGTTCTATGGATATACAGAATTATAAATAATCCAATTTTGACCGCATTTGAATATGTGGCTGTCATAATATCACTACGTAGTGCTATTTTTGCCAGAAGACTTCGGCACGCGATATTGTTGATCACTTAGTATTGTAAAAACATTGTTTTCTGCTTCTGGGGGTTGGAATCAATTTAGTCTGTATAGTGCTGTAGTAAACTACTATACCTAATCGACTAATATTAGTTAACTAATCATAATAGTCGACTAGACCTATCTGCTTCGCTCTGGACAATTAAAATTTTATGTAACAATGTCTTGGAAGATGATTTTTTTAGATAGCAGAATTTTGAGATCTTTGCACATGATCATTAACCAATCAAATCTTATAATTTTCTTTTCATATCGGAAATACCACTAATATGAGGTTGATTCCAGATGCTTTTATAGCAATAATGACATGCAGCCATAGCTGAAATATGTTTGCAAAGCTTTCTTGCTGTGGGTAAGTTACTGGAACAAGAAATTACTATATATTTTATTTTTTGTCAAATAAAGATTTAAATATAGCTGATAGGTTTATTTTTTTCCAAAGTTTTATAGGCTGGTTAATAATAGATATTAAATAGTGATTCAATTAATATAGTTTTGGTTCTGAAGATTCAGGTATAATAGTTAATATTATTATATTAGATAAGTTAAATTTTTTATATAATAATAATAATAATATTTTTTTTGATATTAAAATAAGGTTTTGCTTATATTTTTATTAATAGTTTTTAATATAATAATTACAAAGAGTTGCTAATTTTTAAATACATAAAATATAAAAAGTAAAAATTATATATAATAATAATAAATTAATATTATATTTGATTAACAAATATAAGAAAAAAAATTAAATATAAAAAAAACAAGAATTTTTCTTAACAAGAAAAATCATATATAAAGAGCATTATAGCAAAAAATAGCTTTGGAATGATTATATACAGTGCCTGACAAAAGTTTTTTCGCACCCATAACTCGACACAGAGATATGGTAGGAAAAATATTTTTTTTTATTTAAAAGTACATTAAAATATATGAAAATTAATGTATAGTATAATTGCCCTCAGATTCAATTAGGGCCTCCACACAACGCCTTATGCTCTTTACCAAATTAGCTACATACTTCTTAGACAATTGATTCTATTCTTTTGTTATTTGTGTCTTCAAAGTACTAAGCTTTCTAATTTTTTTTTTGCCAGATTTATTTTTATAAATTCCCAAACATTTTCAATCAGGTTTTGGTCAGGTGATATCGATAGCTAGGGTAGTGATGGTACCCGATTGAAAAAATGCTATCCGGTTATCTGACGGGTATACCCGGCGGGTTACCCAGGTGATCAACAGGTGAGACCGTCCCAAATTAGGAAATAATTATTCGAGTCACCCGAATGTTACATATTTTTTTTTTATACGTTTTACAATACTTCTATTAAAAAGCTTGGGCCAATCAAATTTGCGATTTTTAGAAAAAAAAGTTTTTTTTACGTTTTACAAGGGGCTTTGGATAACAAATTCTTCTAAGATACGTGACTAACGACTAAGTAAACTTGAAGCTTTCGCTTTATATTTTAATAATATCAACTGAATCCACCTGAATCCACCAATTTTTATATTACACTTCACTTGCCAAAGTTACAAGTAACTAATAGTCACTACGTTGACAAAATCTCATTTGTTGAGCAAAAAAAAGGTAAAAAAACTTAAAATAATGATTAATAATGATCATATAGAAGAAAAAAATCTGGTTGTATATTTTTTTTATTATATATAATGTGTAGAAATTCTTTAAATAATTGAAAGTATACGAATAACAATAACTATACATTTTATTAATAAAATTATTAGAAAATCTTTTAAGATACGATAAGAAATGTATATATATTCACGATGTATTAGATTAATAGTTGTGTAATATAAAATAGTGTAATGTAAAATATTAGAGATTTAATTAAATGAAGAATTAAGTGTAAAATTAGAATTAAAGCATAGAATTAGATATAAAACTAGCGAAGAATTAAACATAGAATTAACATATATAGATTAATAGATTTTGTAAGTAAATACTGTTAAAGGTTAATTAAATTAATAAATACATGCTGTACTTACCC